TCCCCATTGCGGTGTCCTCTCTGACGCACCGCTTTGGGTGGCATGTGGCTCCTCCCATTCACATCCTGCTGGCCAACTTCTACCTGATCATCCCCCCGGTGTTAAACCCCATTGTCTATGCTGTGCGGACCAAGGAAATCCGGAGGAGGCTGTACAAGTTGCTATGCTCTAATGGACTGGTGCAGAAGCAGCATACTTTGCGGAAACTGGGTTAGTAGAGTGTGTGTTTGTCCCCTTTAGTGGCTGGATCAGTTCAGAGAAAAACAGTCTATTACCTCTGATAGCTGAAGGAGCTCCCCGTTTTTAGCTCAAGTGGTAGCAGAATGTGTTTTTTTCACCACAAAGTGGGCATGGAGAGAGGGGACTGTTGTATTCACATCCTACAAGACCAAGGAAAGCTGGTCTCTCCATAGAGAACATCTCTTTGGCCATTATAGTTATGGGCCCCTAATTGTCCACCACAAGGACATCCTTAATGCAAAGCGTTTAGCAAAGGGGAGAATGAAGAGGGGGAGACCAACCCAGAGACCAATGGGACATGGTGCATACCTTGACCACTTGGAGCTTTGTGTAGGCAACAGGATTCAAATTCAGACCATCCTGCTTTGGAAGCCCAGGTCCCTGTCACCGTGGCATAAACAAGCTGTCGGCATTGAGCAATTGAAGTCCTAACTGAAGATAGGCACCTTGCCCCTATGCCCATCCTTTGGGCAGGCATATGTCCTACTGCTTTAGTGAGGCTGTAACATGATAAATGATCGGAATGAACAGGAATGATTGTTTCAGTTTCCGTGTTTCATATCAACTGGCAGCTGCATGAAATAGGCTATTCCTGCATCCCTGGAAGACAGAAGGCACCGATGAAACCACCACTGAATGGCCCCTCGATGACCGGTTGTCTTGGGCAGAGGCTGGAAGTCAGGCCTGTGCTCTCATGCAAAGCCTTTTCCATGTCCTTGGGATGGACGTTTGCAGAGGACTCCTGCCAGCTGATCTGTTTGTCTCAGTTTCAGGTGCTTCAGTTGCAACCTCTGTGAGCCTGGCAGGGTGGGTCTGCATTTGGGCAGTGCCAAAGTCCCACCCATGTGTAGTTTCAGCAACCCTGTGCATGCCTTGCCTCACTTCCCCTTCACAGGGCAGTGATGGTGAGCACAGGGAGGAAATATCAGAGTTAATCACTTCATAGAGAGCTTCTTGTATAATAGGGGTAGGCAAGTGAGGACAGACTGGGGACTTTTGAGATGCCACATCTAGCAGCCCCCACTGGAAGCAGAACAGGGATTGGAAGTGTGATGGAGGCTGTCTGCCTCCCTTGGGCTCTGGGGGCAGCCACAATGCAAGGGCTGGATGGGGAACCTGACTGGCCTTGGACAGCCTGGCCTGGGTGCAAAGGACTATGGAGCGTGTAGGCTCTGAGGTGTAGGGATAAAGGTAACAGAGCAGCCACAGGCTCAGAGCTGCTTCATGCCAAGGAAAGGGAGCTGGCACTTTGGCATTCTGTCGGGGGTCTGCAACCAACCTGTAGCTCCAAGGCTGTGCTGCACCTGTTACAACAGATTCTGACCCTGCTTGTACCATTTCAGGGTTAAATGCATGTGTGACTCTAATGTTGTGTGCCTCAGTTTCCCTGAGGACTTGCACCCGGGGAAAAATGGGGGCTCATGGCATGTTGAAGTAGACCTCTGAGGCAAGGAAAGGTGCTAGCCATGTGGTTTGGTTTCCACACACTTCTCCTTAACCTCATCAGTGCAATACTTGCCTGTTGCCCTCATGTCAAAATCTTATGGCTGTGTATGGGGAACCGGTTGTCCATTCATTTTTCCATGGAAGCTTCAGGCTGGAGGGAAAAAAATGCTAATTTGGGAACAACCGAATCATAGGAAGCTAGGAAGGGAAGGAGCCCCATCTACTCTCATCGTCCATGCTCTGGAGAAGAATCAGGTCTACCTAGACCCTCCTTTACAGGTGTTGGTCTATCCAGTATGGAGCAGAAATCTCCAAGGGCAGGGATTCAACCCAAGTTCCTCAGGCAAACAGAAGCATTTCCCAGGATCTAACCTGAATCTCCCTTGTTGAAAACAGAGTCAGCTACTTTTGTCCTGCCCTTTTTGCAAATAGAAAAAAACCCAACAAGATCCCTGCTTTCTCTATAGGAACCACACACACGTTTAGAGACTATTGTAACACTTCCCCTTTCATCCTAGGGGTGGTGATGCGGGATCAGGGATGGAAGGTGAAAGGGGTGCATGAAGAGTGGCTGTTCCTTAAGGACACGATCCTCAAAGCACAAAAGAAAACTGTTCCCATGAGGAGGAAAGGTAGCAAAAGGGCTGGCAAGCCATCCTGGCTCAATAGGGACATGGCAGTCCTCTTGAAAATGAAAATAGAGGCATACACACAGTGGAAACGAGGGATAGTCCACAAGGAGGACTATAAAACAGAGGTCC